TATAGGTGATCACCTGGTGGATCAGGTTTTGCTGAATGAATTCGGACACTCTTTGACTCCAGAGCTGAGAGGTAAACAAAACCTGATGTGTATCTATCACATGACTCACTTGATACAAATGAAGAGTAGATATTCCAAAACCATCTCTGCGATTTATACAATCTACTCCACTGAGGGCTGCTGGATCTAACAAATTATAATTATTAGTGACTATAAGGCTCCATGTACACGGGACATGGGACACTTCTAAACGATGGAAACTGCTGGAAAACGTAGGTCAAAAAACATCTGTTTAGCCGCGTTTATGCGCGTTTATGTTTAGAAGCATTTCTTAAAGATAACCTCAGGAGACCTTCCAAAATGCCCAGAATGCACTGAAAACAGTAACAAAAAATTAACTATTTCAGACATTTTGAGAGAAATAGAGCAGAAGCAGAGAGGGCAGTATTTGTTGAGATTAGCTGTCTTTTTTTTGTGCTGTTTGGATGTGTTCCAACTGTGCAGAAATTATTGCAGCAAAGTCTAACATATTTTCTTTCATGAGAAACCTCAAAGTACGGTGTACCGGGTCCGATGGAGTACCGGGAAAACGCTTTGCATGCATTTTTCATGATGGAAAAAGGCTCTGGACAGCATCTGGAAATGGAAGAGTTAAAAACATTTTCCAAACGCAAATGATTATAAATGCGGTTAGCCGTGGAAAAAAATCTTATTTTTTTTGCTAGGAAATTACTTTGAACCCCCAAACCTTATATATATATGTATATATTTTAAAGCAGACACCCTAGTGAACTAAATGGTGGGTGCTGCACTTTTTTATGTCCTATAGTACTCGCGCAGCATTTTTTCAAACGCAAATTTTTTTACAAAAAATACACTTTTTTTTTTTTTTTTTTGCTTTTAATGCACAATAACACAATATATTGGCCAATTATTTGGTAAAAATATAAAAGATGATGGTATGTCGAGTAAACAGATACCAAACAAGACATGCTTTAAAACTGCGCACTCCTTGTGCAATGGCGACAAACTGCATACATTTTTAATATCGTAGGTGACCCTTTAAAAGCAACCGCTGTTTACATACCAACACGGGGCCAACACTTGCGCACACAGTTACACGGGGGCAAGGGTGCTTTAATTTTTTTTTACCGCTTTTATTGTTATCACAGGGAATGTAAATATCCCCTGTGACAGCAATAGGCAGTGAGAGGTATTCTTTTATGAGAAATCTGGGGTCTATCAGACTCTACATATCTCCTCTGCTATACATCATCTGATCTCACCAAGATCGGCGTGATCAGATGCTTTGCCAATTTAAAAATGGTGCTGTTTATTTCCGGTGAAACTGAAATGATGAAATGCTCGTAGCTTCTGGTTTCTTAGACTATAGAGATGATTGTCACCATCAGGGGCGGAGTGACAACTCATGGGGCCCCCGGGCAATAGGGGATCATGGGGCCCCTATGTCCTTGCCCAAACTCAAAAAAGCCTATGAAAAAGGTACCAGGGGCATCTCATGGGGCTCCCTACTGACCCCGGGCCCTCAGGCAGTGCCAGAGTTTCCAATTGGTCAGTCCACCCCTGATCACCATTCCGATCTCAAATCAGCTCTGTGTTTAGCTGGCAGAAAAACCAGCTGCATTCTCAGGTTCCCCTTATGGCTTAGGACTGCCCGAGAAAGTGTGGAAGGCACCTGGGGGCGGGGGGATGGGCATCTTCTCCTGCTGCTTGTAAAAGCAATCCTGCAGCTAATTATCTACTAGGATTGCTTTTACACGAAAGCTGATCAACGGCTGAAAAAAAAACAATACCTGGATGATGCCTGCAGCAGCATCATCTGCTGCAGGCATCATTCTGGTATAACCACTCAAAGTCCAGTGATGTACCAATACGTTGCTAGTCCTTGTTGGGTATATATGATATGTTCTTTTTTTTATACAGCCTGTGCAGCCTCCCCAGGCTCCCATGCTTGGGCATATATGCTCATTTTTAACTGCGGATGAAAAATCTCATCCAACAGCACTGCACACACTGACGTTTATTCTGAGAGTAAGACCCTGTTGCTGTCAGAATAAACAGGTCAGTGCTGCAGCTGACTGGTATTCCTGCAAAGAAAACAGCAATGGTTAACAATAAAATAGTAACAATAAAACAGTAACTCAATAAAACAACTATTTTTGTTTTTTTTATTTTTTTACTTTTTTTTTTAACTTCCAGAATGTTAGGGTCTTTCAAAATGCGATAGCCAGTTTCCTGACTACCTAGCATTTTTCTAGACCCTGTGCAGATATGTGCCCTAGACTGTGTTGTGCTGTACCCTATACTAATACTCCACTAGTGTGTGGTAGCAACGGAAGCAGTCCTTGAGGCAGAGACTAGGTTGGCCAGGACATGAGGGACAAAAAAAGTGGGTGTCACGCCTAATTCCGTGTTTGCTACGGACGCAACATCTTTTTTGGGGTGCCTTTTGGGTTAGGGTACCAGGAATGGCATCAGGAAAATGCCTCTCATGCAGCCGGCTCACTTACATCTGAATTGGGGGTTTGGGCCATAGCACCTTCTGGATACTAAAGGGCCGTGATCATCTCTTCCTGGAATTTTAGGAAGGATCCACTATGTCCAGTTGCTTTGTAAAGCACAAAAGCATTATATAGAGCTAATTGAAATAAATAAACAAACACTTTTTTGTACCAGCGTCTGGCTTTTCAGGAAACGAAGTACAGCTTCATCATCTGGTCGTTGAAGTCCAGCCCTCCCAAGTTAAGGTTCTAGTTTTATACACAGAGGGGCTTTTCAACAACATCAGCTGCCGTGGCAATTTGGATGGGTGTGTCTGCGTGAATGGAAGACAAGACAAAAACATCCTGTTTTTTCTTTCCACTTCGCTGTGAGCAATTCATCATTTCTCTAGCAGGCTTTTTCGCCCTTTCTATTTACAAGCCGTTGGGGGAAGTCCCAGCGTTTAGGTCGCACGGTGCCACATGCGCCAGTTCCAAGATTGTATAAATGTGTAAATAATGGCAAGCTTGTTTAAAAAGTTTCCAGGTATAAGTGTTACTTCATATGGAAAAAGGGTGACACCAAGTCCCAAAATATCTTGCCACTGCTCCCCATGTAGTCTGGGCATCCGGGGGGCTCCACATGACTATCTTTTCCCTCGTAAATCCAAAACTTACATGTATAGCTTGTTGCCCTCTCACAGGTCTTCTACATCTTGACCCCATATCTGGCACACTTGCTGGAGAGAAATTGTTTGAATACAAGGCAGCCAGAATAATTAATGAGGGACTCATCAACGCAGATGTTTTGCTGGGGAGTATAGACATCTGCAAATTTTTGGATAAGGTGGGAATGAATTCTGTGGAGCCAGTCAAATTCAGGGTCACCTGAGGACAACAGAGTGTATTGTCGTTGAAATGCATAAATCACATTATATTCACATATCTATGCCTGGCCATGGCAGCAGAGAAAACGGGCATATGATGAATCGGGTCTGTGAACCAATACCACCGCAATTAATTTTTTTAGTAATGCCCATGTTGAGGGTAAGGTCCAAAAAAAATTTTGGACTTTAAATTCAGAAACCATAATGGGTTTCAATGCAAATGGTCTGGCAAGGTTTGGGTTGGCGGTGATAAATTCTTGTGCATATAAATTGCTTTGATCCACAATCAATCCATGCAGATCTTCTGTGAAAAACAGCTGCAAAAAATCAAGGGGAGTAGTTAAATTTGCTGTTTCCATCTGAATTCCAGGTTGGGCAGTGAATGGGGGAAGTACGGGTGCTGCAGAATTTGTGGGCTGTCAATTGGGATTTGCAAACATATCCGGAAGGACACTAGGGGCTCTATGGGTCTGTGTGCGAATTCTCAGTGGTTGCGGGACATTACTTTTGCTCGTCATCGCACCAGCTTGTACTGCACTCTCGCCATGTCACCAAGTCATACTGCAGTGCTGGTATGTGAAAGACCAGGATGTACTAAGCTGCTGGTGCTCGCCAGTTCACTAGTACTGGCACTCTGCTGCATATGAGAATCATCATGCGATTGTAATATCTCAGCAACCTGGGACCTTAGAAGGGACCTCTTCTCCATCATCTGAGCTACCTGTCAGGGTGCCGCTGCTGTCTACAGGTTTGTATTCTGAGGTGGATTCTGTCAGTGAAGCTTCCCCTTTGCCCTCATATGACATGGTCAGAATCCTGTAGGCCTCTTCACTAGTGTACTTTTCGTTGGACATTTTGGCCACTAAATTTATATGTGCGACTCACGAGAAAAACAGCACCTGGCTATCGGGACTGCTTGAACCGCTACAAAAAAAATGTACCTGCTAGTGAAAGCAGAAATCAGGTCTGATCTTGCTAACCCTGCAGTTTTGTGTGCAATGTATCAAGTTACAGTGACCTACTGACACTGCACTTGCTGGGGGAGAAGGGGGGTGAAGGGGGGGTAAGTGTAGGGGCTAAATGCAGGTGCTGGCAGGTGCCGCGGCTAATCCCGCTAACGCTGCATTTTTGGGGGACACTATACTAATGTGAACGCTGGTATAGTTTTGATATGTCATGTCCTGTTGGGGGTAAAACCTTCCAGGGGTCAAGTGGTTAACCTGAGTCATAACATTTGTCCATTATATTCCCAGATATTCAGGAAAAGCACAAACAACATCTGATGGAGAAGACTGAGACTCTAGTGGAGCATAGACCCCCAGGAACTACCCTGGAACCACAAAGATTCCCCATCAATGAGCGTTATGTGAAGCTGATTGTAGTCTCCTCTGATGAGTTCCGGCAGCGTCCCCAGAATGAGATAATACAGACCGGGGTAAAACATGAGGAATGCTTGAAGGAAACACAGACTGGACTGGAACATATTTCCCCCAATAGGCTGTTTCGCTGGGACCACCAGTCGCAATGTGTACCACGTGCAGTAATGGTGAGCGGAGTGCCAGGAATAGGGAAGACCACACTGATGCAGAAGTTTGTCTATGACTGGGTGACCGGAAAACACTACCAGAGATTTGCCTTTGTCTTCTTCTTCAGATTCCGGGACCTTAATAGACTGGGAGAGGTCAGCTTGGAGAAGATGATTCTTCAACAATATCCACATCTGGAGGGTCAGATTGGAGATATTTTACAGGATCCAGAGAGACTTCTGTTTATATTTGATGGCTTAGATGAAAGTATTCACCAAATGGATTTCAGATCAAGTAAACTGTCCAATCCAAAGCAGAGAACACGTTTTGATGAAATTGCGGTCAGTTTGGTGAGGCAGAGTCTTCTTAAGGGTTGCTCTGTACTGATGACCAGCCGCCCAACCAGACTGACATCAGTTGATAATGTTTTCCAGAGAATAGTGGAGATCATGGGATTTCTCCATGAAGACAGACGGATCTTCTTTAATAATTTCTTTGGAAATGAGGAATGGTCAGAGAAGGCTTTCCATTATGTGCAGGAGAATGACACGCTGTACACTTTCTGTTATATCCCAGCATACTGCTGGATCATCTGTACAGTGTTATCAATGTGCTTCAGAGCCCAACCAACAATCACCGATCAGCTGATGACATCATTACCCAAAACAGTGACACAACTCTTTGTGACTTTTGTCTCCAACATTCTGGCCAATCACAGCCAGAATACAGATGGTGCTCACACTGCCCGGGAACTGCTGACATCTATGGGGTGGATGGCAGAACATGGAGTCATGAATCACATGATTGTATTTGATGAGCGTCATCTGGAGTCATTCATTGTGAGAAATGATAAACATCTCTTTTCATCTTTCCTGATGGAATCTGGTCAGCCACCTGATGTGGATTACACCTTCTTACATCTCACTCTTCAGGAGTTCTTTGCTGCTTTAGTCCATTTTATTGACTATAATGCTGACAAAATACAAAAAACACTTGATGGAGCTGAATCTTATGAAGATGGCCGTGCAGAAATATTCCTCCGTTTCCTCTGCGGTCTCTCAGACTCTTCTACTAGATCCATGTTAAAGTTTCATGTGGGAGAATTGTCTGCTCAGGCTGCCAGACATGTCATCACCTGGATCCAGAAGAAAATACCAGAACAAAGACCTGACACATCCATAAGAGGCAACAGAGATCTTCTTAATGTGTTCTACTATCTCCATGAGAGCAGGAATAAGGCTCTGGTGTCACAATGTATTGGATCAAACAACATTGACTTTTCTGGTGTCCCCCTCAGCCCTGTGGACTGCTCTGTGCTGTCCTTTATCCTTCAATCCTGCAAAGAGCTAGAAGTAAATCTACGTTCATGTAGAATTCCGAGTGAGGGATTGAGGAAACTCATACCGGCTCTACACAACATCAAGAGTCTGAGGTAAATATTGGATATGATCATCACATTTCTGTGCTAAACTGGAATTGTCAGAAATTTATTTAAGGAAACACTTAGATAATATTGCACTGTTTAGTAAACTGAAGAGGCATTAAACCCCAAAACAAATATGTAATATATTACAATTTAGATGAGGTGGCTGCATCAGCCTTCTTTTTTTAGGTTTTTTCCCCCTTTATTTCACCTGGTGATCTAGCCAGTAAAACTTCTTGTCTTAGGAAGTCTGTATTCTGGGTGAAGCCGTAAAACAGACACCTCAGGACAATAAATACATAAAAGTGAAGCGCTTAAAAAGTAACAAATAATCATAAGAAAACAGTGAAAAATGTGTCAAAAAAATAGTCCATCCAAAAATAAAAGAAAAGTCCCAGAGGCTGTGATGAAACAAAAGAAATCCAAGGACCGTTGTGGTGTCACCAACCACTACTACAGAAGGCTTACCAGAAAGGCGTGACCCCCTGTTCATGAGCGGTCAATTGCGCTATGTTAAACAATCCAGAAAGCCAATCACTGGAATCCTCCTCCAGATCACCAAACAGCAGATAAGATTCTTCCCAACAATGGGCCTTAGTTAGGGTAGCTAAACCATTCAGGATGAGGCTTGGACTTGTAGTGGGAAACATGCAAAGAAAGAGCGCTCCACATAGTGTAAAGCCATAATCACATTTATTTAAAGTATGGTTGCGCTCACATGTAAGCAAACATCATTAGGCATGGATTGGCAAAAAAGTCCAAATTTTACAGTTTTCAAAATGGCCGCAAATGCGCAGTAGCGTGTGTACGTGGCTCCACCCACTCACACGCTACTGCCTCCACCTTTCTGGTAAGCCTTCTGTAGTAGTGGTTGGTGACACCACAACTGTCCTTGGATTTCTTTTGTTTCATCGCAGCCTCTGGGACTTTTCTGTTATTTTTGGATGGACTATTTTTATGACACCTTTTTCACTGTTTTCTTATGATTATTTGTTACTTTTTAGGCGCTGCACTTTTATGTATTTATTGTTGATTGCCTAATATCAGGGTTTTTTGTGTTCAGCTGCTATACGTTTTACACCTTATTATTGATTATCTATTGTGGTTGTTATTAGCGCAGGTTTATATATATACAGTCAGGTCCATAAATATTGGGACATGGACACAATTCTAACATTTTTGGCTCTATACACCACAATGGATTTGAAATGAAACGAACAAGATGTGCTTTAACTGCAGACTGTCAGCTTTAATTTGAGGGTATTTACATCCAAATCAGGTGACCGGTGTAGGAATTACAACAGTTTGCATATGTGCCTCCCACTTGTTAAGGGACCAAAGTAATGGGACAATTGGCTTCTCAGCTGTTCCATGGCCAGGTGTGTGTTATTCCCTCATTATCCCAATTACAATGAGCAGATAAAAGGTCCAGAGTTAATTTCAAGTGTGCTATTTGCATTTGGAATCTGTTGCTGTCAACTCTCAAGATGAGATCCAAAGAGCTGTCACTATCGGTGAAGCCATCATTAGGCTGAAAAAACAAAACAAACCCATCAGAGAGATAGCAAAAACATTAGGCGTGGCCGAAACAACTGTTTGGAACATTCTTAAAAAGAAGGAACGCACCGGTGAGCTCAGCAACACCAAAACACCTGGAAGACCACAGAAAACAACTGTGGTGGATGACCAAAGAATTCTTTCCCTGGTGAAGAAAACACCCTTCACAACAGTTGGCCAGATCAAGAACACTCTCCAGGAGGTAGGTGTATGTGTGTCAAAGTCACCAATCAAGAGAAGACTTCACCAGAGTGAATACAGAGGGTTCACCACAAGATGGAAACCATTGGTAAGCCTCAAAAACAGGAAGGCCAGATTAGAGTTTGCCAAACGACATCTAAAAAAGCCTTCACAGTTCTGGAACAACATCCTATGGACAGATGAGACCAACATCAACTTGTACCAGAGTGATGGGAAGAGAAGAGGATGGAGAAGGAACTGCTCATGATCCTAAGCATACCACCTCATCAGTGAAGCATGGTGGTGGTAGTGTCATGGCGTGGGCATGTATGGCTGCCAATGGAACTGCTTCTCTTGTATTTATTGATGATGTGACTGCTGACAGAAGCAGCCGGATGAATTGTGAAGTGTTTCGGGAATATTATCGGCTCATATTCAGCCAAATGCTTCACAACTCATTGGACGCTTCACAGTGCAGATGGACAATGACCCAAAGCAGACTGCAAAAGCAACCAAAGAAGTGGAATGTTCTGCAATGGCCAAGTCCATCGCCTGACCTGAATCCGATTGAGCATTTCACTTGCTGAAGACAAAACTGAAGGGAAAATGCCCCAAGAACAAGCAGGAACTGAAGACAGTTGCAGTAGAGGCCTGGCAGAGCATCACCAGGGATGACACCCAGCGTCTGGGGATGTCTATGCGTTCCACACTTCAGGCTGTAATTGACTGCAAAGGATTTGCAACCAAGTATTAAAAAGTGAAAGTTTGATTTATAATTATTATTCTGTCCCATTACTTTTGGTCCCTTAACAAGGGGGAGGCACATATGCAAACTGTTGTAATTCCTACACTGTTCACCTGATTTGGATGTAAATACCCTCAAATTAAAGCTGACAGTCTGCAGCTAAAGCACATCTTGTTCGTTTTATTTCAAATCCATTGTGGTGGTGTATAGAGCCAAAAATGTTTGAATTGTGTCAATGTCCCAATATTTATGGACCTGACTGTATATTTATCCTTACCTCTGGACGATAGCATTGTCAGTCTGGGGAGAGGGGAGAGTTATATTAACCACTTGACCTCCAGAGGATTTACCCCCCTTAATGACCACGCCTCTTTTTGCTACTCGGCTCTGCACTAATTCAACTGATAATTGCGCGGTCATGCAATGCTGCACCCAAACGAAATTTACGTCCTTTTTTTCACACAAATAGAGCTTTCTTTCGGTGGTATTTGATCACCTGTGCGCTTTTTATTTTTCACGCTATAAACAAAAAAAATCCAAAAATTTTGAAGAAAAACAATATTTTTTACTTTCAGCTATAAAAAATATATAGTAAACTCAAAGTTGGTTATAAATTTAGGCCAAAATGTATTCTGCTGCATGTTTTTGGTAAAAAAAATCCCAATGAGTGTATATTGATTGCTTTGTGTGAAGTTATAGCGTCTACAAACTATGAGATACTGCAATTTACGCCCTTTTTTCTGCTATACAGCGCTGCGCTAGTTTAACGGACAATTGCGCGGTCATGCAATACGTACATAAATGAAATTTACATCTTTTTTTTCCCCACAAATTGAGCTTTCTTTCGGTGGTATTTGATCGCCTGTGCGGTTTTTATTTTTTGCGCTATAAAAAAAAAAAAAGGCTGACAATTTTGAGGAAAAAAAACAATATTTTGGACTTTTTGCTATAAAACATGTCCAGTAAAAAAAAAATGCAAAAATCAAATTTAGTCATAAATTTCTGCCAAAATGCATTCTGCGACATGTCTTTGCTAAAAAAAAAAAAAAACCCAATACATGTAAATTGGTTTACGTGAAAGTTATAGCGTTTACAAATGGCGGGAAATATACTGGGATTTTTAGGTTTTTTTTTTTATACTAATAATGGCGGCGATCAGCGAATTATGGCGACGATCAGGGACTTATGGCAGCGACCAGCGACTTATGGCGGGACTGTGGGACTGCGGCGGACATTCTGACATTGGGGGTGTGACGGGAGTGACTTTTGGGGGTGGGGGGACCTCTGTATCATCTCCCCAAATCATTATGTTTAACCCACCCTGTGCCTGTTAAGGGTTACAGGGTGTGTATGTGAATGTCCCAGTATTGTGTATAGTGTGTGTTCCTTTGTCTATTACCATGTGCTACCCCCCATTGTGCTGTGTCTCCCTGCCCAGCCAACTATTATGGGATGTCCTGTTTGTGTATTGGTGTGGGGGTTGGTCAATGTCCTTTGCCACATGGTTGCATCCCATTGTTCTGTGTCTGGTTGGATGGGGAGGGGTGATGAGGTGTTTCCTGCCTATACTGTAGCCCTTCCCACTGAGAGGGTGGGCTGATGATGTATTTCCTGTTCCTGGTTGTGTTTCCCCGCCCTCTGTATAAAACATGTTTTTGTGTAAAATAAAAGGTGTTGACTTCCTGTTTTAGTAGGAGCTGGGTGTCTGTCTATTTTCCTGAGGGATTCCAAGGGTGTGGTCCGTGGATGGTGTTCGGACAGGGGAAGTTGTGCTATAACGGAAAAACTCAGTGCGGTCTGGGTTCCGGTTCCGTTACAGGGGGGTACTGACTTGGGGTCACTGACATCCCCAAAAACACTAATACAGTGATCAGTGCAAAAAAAAAAAACCACTGACACTGTACTAATGGCACTGGGGAGGAAGGGGTTAACTTTATTTTGCAGGGAAGGGGTATCTGAGTGAAGGGAGTGTTTTACTAGGGGGCGGGGGTGTGTACTGGGCGGGACAAGGCTGATCGAGAGAGAGAAACTCTTCTTTCTCCATCAGCTCGTCCTCGAGCTGTCAGGGAAGTGACAGACAGCACAGCTACTGCAGCTGTGTTCTCTGTCACTGTTTGCCGCCAATTGCCGGGAAACAGCTGGTAAAGACCGGCTGTGACCCGGCGACTGACATCCGCAGCGGTGATCGGCGGGACAGATAGGGCGGCGGCGCGCCTCGCGCACGCCCCCTATCTGTTTACAAAACAAGCGTTTTAAAACGTGGTTTTGCCTGCCAGTGCCGCCCTCCCGCCGTATTTCTACAGTGGCTGAGCGGCAAGTGGTTAACAGATCTAGATAGACTTGACCGATATATTGAAGATGAACTCCAGCTAATACCTTATAAGCAGCCTCAACGCTCTAACTCGAAACCATTTGATTGCGGTCTTCCTGTTGACTGCGGGCCGGTGTCAGGTAGACCTTGAACAGGTCTCTGCACTGCCGACTCGTACCTTTAGGTGCCGGTCCTTCTCCCCCCCCCCCCCCCCCCTCCCCCAACCTTCTCCATCACTGTCATCCTCAGTGCACAGCGGAGAGCGGGAGGCAGCACAGATCAGGATGGAGGACAGGTGGAGGAGCTTGCCAGATTATCTTTTCAAGGTAACTGAGAAGTGATTGGTTGCTAGGGCATTCCTAGCAACCAACCACCAGCTTGTTAATATGAAAAGTCACTCTGGCAGCTCCCACCCTCCATCCAGAACTATGCTGCCTTCCACTCTCTCCTCTGTGTATACAGGTAGGATACTGCAGTGCTTGGGGCACTTCTATGGGCGGGAAGGGAGGGGGGAGGCAGGCAGAGGACGCTGCTGGAGGAGAAGGGGGGGCAGAGATCACTACTATGGGGTAAAGGTGGGGGGCAGAGAATACTAATGGGGAGGGGGAGTTTATGTGAAGAGTGGTAGAGGACACTGCTATGGGTAGGAAGAGGACACTACTGTGGGGAGTGATGTGAAGGGGGCAGAGGACACTCCTATAGCAGGGCAGAGGACATTATTGTGGGGGGGAGGTAATGTGCAGAAAGAGGGCATTGCTATGGGCATGGCCACCCCTATAGTCGTTTCCTCACCGCCCTTCACACCACCCGCCCACAGTAGTGTCCTTTTTCCCCCATAGCCGTGTCCTCTGCCCCCCCTTCCCTCCCATGGACCCTACCCTGGAGCCCTAAGGCAGCTTCCTAAGCAGCCTTATGCTGGCTTTATTTTCCTCCTGCAGCAGCCGAAACCCACAATACGAGTCATGTCAGTGGTATTCTGTGCTCATCCTGTGTATGGAGATATCACCGTCTCTACACATGGAGGACAATATTGGGGGGTCTACTCCATTATAACATTTGTCTTATAAAATTCTATTTCCTGGAGATTTATAAAGTGATGGAATATAAATGATTCCAATAAAGAGAAATGAGTTCCATCCATGTAGAGAATAGTTCCATTCATTCCTGGGGGGGAGGGGGGATTCATTTTCTTCTGGTAACATTCTTCTCTTCTACAGATTGTCCATTAATCACCTGACAGACAGTTCCTGCCCCCACCTGGCATCTGGAATAAGAAATAACCCGACACTGAGGACACTGGACCTGTCTATGAACAATCTGGAGGGTCCTCATTTCAGGGATCTGATGGCGGCTCTGACAACAAGCCGGATAGAGGAATTACAGTGAGTATAACAGGACTGACTGAGACAATCATATTCTGGGAGAGTTTTATATCTAAACCACATAAAATGCCGGTTTCCCTTAGTCAAGATGGCTGCGCCAGCACCCAACAGCTAATTGAAGAATCAGCTTGGGGTGAGGACATTGCTGGATCCCTGGACAGGTAAGTGCACCAATATCAAAAGTCAGCAGCTACAGTATTTGTAGCTGCTGACTTTTTATTTTTTTTTATTTAGGAGGGGGTGGGGGGGGGGGGGGGCGAGGGCCAGATCTCCCTGTTAATACCTTCCTCCAATATGATTGTTAGTTTAGTCCATCAGACGTTATCCTTATTACTACACATCCACCAACTGTGTCTCTCCCCATTACTGCACATCTGGTATTTGAGGTCTGAAATCTCCTCTCTACTTCCTATGAGTACAGAGCTCTTATCAGCAGAGATAAATGGAACATCAGATAAAATCCTCCCGTCCAATCACTAGCTATGATGATTTTGGCCTCACACTGTCTTCTGATCCCATTCATGCCAGTGTTTCCAACCATCCGGTATTTTATGGACTTTTTGTAAAAACTGGGCTCTTTTCTCCTCTCTGTAAATGTTCATCACAGAAGAGCGCCCATTAAAAATAAGGCTGTGACTGTCCACTTAGAACTGTACATGCGCAGTTCCGGAGCTGGCCGACGGACCATCCGAGGCTCTGAGCCCAAGTGCTACTGCTACGGTGTTGGGGCACTGGGGAGCGGGTCTGGTGGAGGTGATGCCTGAGCATGACATCCTGGACTCCTGGTGCATTTTTTGCCACCACTGCCAGTCACCATGAAAACACAACCTTTGTGAACAGAATGGAGCACATCAATAGTATGTAGCTGGCTGTCAGCAGAAACAGATTCTGTGGGGGGAGGGAGTGTGCCAATGGGGAAAGCACAAAAGTGGGGCTGTGCTGAGGGCTGGTTTGGGAACCTGGGGGCAGGTTGCTGGAATGTGCCAGGCTGTTGCTTACAGTCTTCTTTCGAGGAGCTTGGGAGCAGCAGTGTGCAGGGATCCATGGGAGCAGTTAAAGTTTGCAAAGTAGAAACCCTGCTGAATGGGATTGGAGAGATTGAGCACTGCAAGACTGGGATTGGGCAATACAAGGGAAAAGGTGGGGAGTGTGAGGGCACCAGGGGATCAGACACCCGGTGTCCTTACACTGAACAGCCTGCTCCTGGTGTGTGAGGCATCACTTGTCACATTATCATTCTTCTATATAGATACAGGACAGGCAGGAGGAGTATCATTCACTGGAGGGACCTGGCGGGGGGTCTTCAAGAAGACCTTTAGGTAATCTAATGTATTCATTAATGAATGTTAAGACCTGATGTAAAGGGGGACTCTGATGTAAAGGGTAATGCTGCAGACCCTGATGTAAGTGGGAATTCTGATGTAAAAGGAAAATCTGTGGGCTCTCTGGTTCCCCCCTTACTCTGCAGACACTGATGTGAAGGTGAACTCTGTAAGGGGGAACTTTGTGTACTGTGATGCAAAGGGGAACTCTGGAGTCTGATGTAGGGGGAAATCTGTGGACTGTGATGTAAAGGGGAGCTGTTTTGGGGATCCTCCAGATCACCAAAACAGCAGATAAGATTCTTCCAAACAATGGACCTTAGGGTAGCTAAACCATTCAGGATGAGGCTTGGACTCGTAGTGGGAACATGCAAAGAAAGAGCGCTCCTCATAGTGTAAAGCCATAATCACAACATTTATTTAAAGTATGGTTGTGCTCACATGTAAGCAAATAGCATTAGGCATTGATTGGCAAAAAAAGTCCAAATTTTGCAGTTTTCAAATTGAGCTCCATGTATAATACATAAGGGGGGATATGATCTCCATGTATAATACATAAGGGGGATATGATCACCATGTATAATACATAAGGGGGATATGATCTCCATGTATAATACACAAGGGGGGATATGATCTCCATGTATAATACACAAGGGGGGATATGATCTCCATGTATAATACATAAGGGGGGATATGATCTCCATGTATAATACATAAGGGGGGATATGATCTCCATGTATAATACATAAGGGGGGATATGATCTCCATGTATAATACACAAGGGGGGATATGATCTCCATGTATAATACATAAGGGGGGATATGATCTCCATGTATAATACATAAGGGGGGATATGATCTCCATGTATAATACATAAGGGGGGATATGATCACCATGTATAATACACAAGGGGGGATATGATCTCCATGTATAATACATAACGGGGGATATGATCTCCATGTATAATACACAAGGGGGATATGATCACCATGTATAATACATAAGGGGGGGGGGGTAAGATCTCCATGTATAATACATAAGGGGGGATGTGATCTCCATGTATAATACATTAGGGGGGATATGATCTCCATGTATAATACATAAGGGGGGGGGGGGTAAGATCTCCATGTATAATACATAAGGGGGGATGTGATCTCCATGTATAATACATTAGGGGGGATATGATCTCCATGTATAATACATAAGGGGGGATATGATCTCCATGTATAATACATAAGGGGGGATATGATCTCCATGTATAATACATAAGGGGGGGGATATGATCTCCATGTATAATACATAAGGGGGGGATATGATCTCCATGTATAATACATAAGGGGGGATGTGATCTCCATGTATAATACATAAGGGGGGATATGATCTCAATGTATAATACATAAGGGGGGATATGATCCCCATGTATAATACACAAGGGGGATATGATCTTCATGTATAATACATAAGGGGGGGATGTGATCTCCATGTATAATACATAAGGGGGGGATGTGATCTCCATGTATAATACATAAGGGGGGATGTGATCTCCATGTATAATACATAAGGGGGGATGTGATCTCCATGTATAATACATAAGGGGGGATGTGATCTCCATGTATAATACACAAGGGGGATATGATCTCCATGTATAATACATAAGGGGGGATGTGATCTCAATGTATAATACATAAGGGGGGATATGATCTCCATGTATAATACACAAGGGGGATATGATCTCCATGTATAATACATAAGGGGGGGATGTGATCTCCATGTATAATACATAAGGGGGGATGTGATCTCCATGTATAATACATAAGGGGGGATGTGATCTCCATGTATAATACATAAGGGGGATGTGATCTCCATGTATAATACATAAGGGGGGATGTGATCTCCATGTATAATACATAAGGGGGGATATGATCTCCATGTATAATACATAAGGGGAGATATGATCTCCATGTATAATACATAAGGGGGGATATGATCTCCATGTATAATACATAAGGGGGGATATGATCTCCATGTATAATACATAAGGGGAGGATATGATCTCCATGTATAATACATAAGGGGGGATATGATCTCCATGTATAATACATAAGGGGGGATATGATCTCCATGTATAAAACATAAGGGGGGGATATGATCTCCATGTATAATACATAAGGGGGGATATGATCTCCATGTATAATACATAAGGGGGGATATGATCTCCATGTATAATACATAAGGGGGGATATGATCTCCATGTATAATACATAAGGGGGGATATGATCTCCATGTATAATACATAAGGGGGGATATGACCTCCATGTATAATACATAAGGGGGGATATGACCTCCATGTATAATACATCAGTGGTTCATATAGTGAACACGGTGTAGTTATTCACCCTGAGATATCACAGAGGACAAGGGGGCGCTCTTTACATCTGGAGGAAAAGAAATGTAATCTCCAAACACGGAAAGGTTTCTTCACAGTAAGAGCTGTGAGAATGTGGAATAGACTCCCTCAAGAGTTGGTTGTGGCCAGCTCAGTGGATTGCTGTAGGAAAGTCCTGGATTCTTTCTTGGATACACAGAATATAACTTGATATAACATTTATAGGGAAAGTTGATCCCGGGAATATCTGATTGCCTCTCGAGGGATCATGAAGGAGTTTTTTTTTTTCCCTGCAGAAGCAAATTGGATCGTGCTTTGCTGGGTTTTTTTTTATTTCCTCTGGATTAACTGTGGGTGTAAGATTATAACTTTTTTTTTTTTCTATGGTTGAACTGGATGGACTTTTGTCTTTATTCAGCCAGACTAACTATGTAAGTATCACAGCCAATAATAAGGTGTAAAACATATAGCAGCTGAACTCCAGCTAATACCTTATAATCAGTTACAGCAAACCTTTTTTTTTTCCTTGTGGGATAAAGATTGTATATGAAGGAATACAAACTGATCATCGTAAGCTCTCCTGTTAATGCTAAATGGTTGTCTCAACGCTCTAACTCGAAACCAGTTGATTGCGGTCTTCCTGTTGACTGCGGGCCGGTGTCAGGTAGACCTTGAACAGGTCTCTGCACTGCCGACTCGTACCTTTGGGGGCCGTCCTTCTCCCCCCCCAACCTTCTCCGTCACTGTCATCCTCAGTGCACAGTGGAGAGCGGGAGGCAGCACAGCTCAGGATGGAGGGCGGGAGGAGGAGCTTGCCAGATTATCTTTTCAAGGTAACCGAGAAGTGATTGGTTGCTAGGGCATTCCTAGCAACCAACCACCAGCTTGTTAATATGAAAAGTCACTCTGGCAGCTCCCACCCTCCATCCAGAACTATGCTGCCTTCCACTCTCTCCTCTGTGTATACAGGTAGGATACTGCAGTGCTTGGGACACTTCTATGGGAGGGAAAGGGGGGCCAGAGGTCATTGCTATGGGGTAAAGGGGGAGTTTATGTGAAGAGTGGTAGAGGACACTGCTATGGGTAGGAAGAGGACACTACTGTGGGGAGTGATGTGAAGGGGTCAGAAGACACTGCTATGTCGGGGCAGAGGACACTATTGCGGGGGGGGGGGGGGGGGGGGGTGTAATGTGCAGAGGGAGGAAGATGTTGCTATGGGCATGGCCACCCCTATAGTCATTTCCTCTACCACTCTTCACACCACCCACACACAGTAGTGTCCTTTACCCCCCTTTTTCCCCATAGTGTCCTTTTCCCCCCTTCCCTCCCATGGACCCTACCCTGGAGCCCTAAGGCAGCTTCCTAAGCAGCCTTATGCTGGCTTTATTTTCCTCCTGCAACAGCCGAAAGCCACAATACGAGTCATGTCAGTGGTATTCTGTGCTCATCCTGTGTATTTATTTATTATTGTTACTTATATAGCGCCATCAATTTATGCAGCGCTTTACATATATATTATACATTCACATCAGTCCCTAACCCTCAGGGGGCGTGCAATCTAAGGTCCCTAACTCACATTCATACATAGTTATAGTGAATACTTGTGAGCTATTATGAATCGAGGTGTTCAATAAGTAACATATAATGAAATCTTAAAGTGTATGGGGTGCGCTGGCACTTACACTGACTCACTTAGCTAGTGTGTATAAATGATAGAGAAAGAATTGCGCCGCGCTCCTATATATTTATATATACAGCTTATACTTCTAAAGTGTATCAATATCAATGTTATTGTCAACAATTGTTAATTGTGACTATACCACTAAATGCATATAAAATTATACATATAAATGACATGCATAATGAATAATCCTGAAGTGATAGTGCCTTAATGGGTGCCATGGTGTGAACCCATGTTGCACCTCTATATAGCTGTGTACACTCTATACTATTAGTGCAAAAACATATACACATGTGCACGTGCTGATAATAAACAAATATAAATAAAGTCTTTGAAATAAATGTGCAAGTGAATATTCTGTTCCTTCTCTCCGAGTGCTAGATGGTCTCCCTATATGCTCACCTCTATATTTGCCTGAATGAATCCAGGCAAATACGCTTTTTATCCTTCCAGGATAGATGAAATGGGATGATGCCTTTGCTCTAGCCGTCCTAGAAGGTGGACATGCATATAGATGGATCCTCCAGTTATTTCCTTTATCTCCCTGTGTATCAATGAGTACACTGACCAGCTCTCTTGGGATCTCCCAATTCCCCTCCTGGGGTTGTTTCCTCGTTCACTCCTCCTTATGCCAGCTCATGGGGTGTTTGGTCAAAAAAGAAAAAGCAGACCATAGTGTCTTATCCTTGTACACAAAATGGATTTATTTCTGCCAATTTAAGGTATAACTCGATGGCATACAGCTCATGTGTGATCCAAACAAGCATGGATGGCAATCAACAGGTAAAAAAAGAAACCTCTCTGCAGCTGCCCCTGCAGTACTATCTGCCTGTGCTTGTGCTCGGATCTGCTCGCTTCTCCAGTGCAATGTCGTGACGTCAGAGCCCCCCCTCCCCTACGCGTTGCGTCACAGGGTCACGTGACTTCATCAGGGGGAATTTGATTGGATCCAATCAAATTCCCCTGATGAAGTCACGTGACCCTGTGACGCAACGCGTAGGGGAGGGGGGGCTCTGACGTCACGACATTGCACTGGAGAAGCGAGCAGATCCGAGCACAAGCACAGGCAGATAGTACTGCAGGGGCAACTGCAGAGAGGTTTCTTTTTTACCTGTTGATTGCCATCCATGCTTGTTTGGATCACACATGAGCTGTATGCCATCGAGTTATACCTTAAATTGGCAGAAATAAATCCATTTTGTGTACAAGGATAAGACACTATGGTCTGCTTTTTCTTTTTTGACCAAACACCCCATGAGCTGGCATAAGGAGGAGTGAACGAGGGAAACAACCCCAGGAGGGGAATTGGGAGATCCCAAGAGAGTGGTCAGTGTACTCATTGATACACAGGGAGATAAAGGAAATAACTGGAGGATCCATCTATATGCATGTCCACCTTCTAGGACGGCTAGAGCAAAGGCATCATCCCATTTCATCTATCCTGGAAGGATAAAAAGCGTATTTGCCTGGATTCATTCAGGCAAATATAGAGGTGAGCATATAGGGAGACCATCTAGCACTCGGAGAGAAGGAACAGAATATTCACTTGCACATTTATTTCAAAGACTTTATTTATATTTGTTTATTATCAGCACGTGCACATGTGTATATGTTTTTGCACTAATAGTATAGAGTGTACACAGCTATATAGAGGTGCAACATGGGTTCACACCATGGCACCCATTAAGGCACTATCACTTCAGGATTATTCATTATGCATGTCATTTATATGTATAATTTTATATGCATTTAGTGGTATAGTCACAATTCACAATTGTTGACATTAACATTGATATTGATACACTTTAGAAGTATAAGCTGTATATATATAAATATATAGGAGCGCGGCGCAATTCTTTCTCTATCACATTCATACATACACATACTAGGGACAATTTAGACAGGATCCAATGAACCTACCAGCATGTCTTTGGAGTGTGGGAGGAAACCAGAATACCCAGAGGAAGCCCACGCAGGCACAGGGAGAACATGCAAATTCCAGGTAGGTGGTGTCGTGGTTGGGATTCGAGCCCACGACCCTAGTACTGCCAGGCGGAAATGCTAACCATTTAGCCACTGTGCTGCCCCATGTATGGAGATATCACCGTCTCTACACATGGAGGACAATATTGGGGGGGTCTACTCCATTATAACATTTGTCTTATAATATTCTATTTCCTGGAGATTTATAAAGTGATGGAATATAAATGATTCCAACAAAGAGAAATGAGTTCCATCCATGTAGAGAATAGTTCAATTCACTCCTGGGGGGGGGGGGAGATACATTTTCTTCTGGTAACATTCTTCTCTTCTTCCACAGATTGTCCTATAATCAGCTGACAGACAGTTCCTGCCCCCACCTGGCATCTGGAATAAGAAATAACCCGACACTGAGGACACTGAACCTGTCTGTGAACAATCTGGAGGGTCCTCATTTCAGGGATCTGATGGCGGCTCTGACAACAAGCCAGATAGAGAAATTACAGTGAGTATAACAGGAATGACTGAGACAATCATATTCTGGGACAGTTTTATATCTAAACCACATAAAATGAAGAAATGATAGTGTAATATATAAAATTAACCTTTAAACAGCAAATCCCAAACTGGCTCATTCTTGGATCTTATCACACTGTTATCAGTCATGAAATTGTGTTTTCTTAAAGCTGAATTCCACCCAAAAGTGGAAGCTCCGCTTATCTGCCTCCTCTCTCCCCTCCGCTACCCACATTTGGCACCTTTTGGGGGGAGAGCAGGTACCTAGTTTTGACCGGTACCCACTCCCACTTCCAGCTTAGTTTGCCTCTGTGAACGGAGGCAGAAGTTCAGGCCCCCTGCAGCCCTCTGGGACACTGCACAGGTCCCAGAGGACTGCGGTCCATGCACAAAGCATAGTGCGCTTTGCACAGTAGGAAACCACTGTGAAGTCACAAGGCTTTAATGCTGGTTTCCCTTAGTCAAGATGGCTGTGCCAGCACCCAACAGCCAATTGAAGAATCAGCTTGGGGTGAGGACACTGCTGGATCCCTGGACAGGTAAGTGCCCTAATATCAAAAGTCAGCAGCTACAGTATTTTGTATTTAGTTTGGAAGACAAAATGGAGGACCCGGAGGGAAGATTTTTTATTTTTAAAGGGGAAATTGCAAGAAGTAGAATGTACACTGGCAAATATATACTGCCCTAATAAAAAACCTGAGGTCTATCTAAAGAACATATTGAAGAAGCTATTAGATTTTAAAAAAGGCAAACTAATTAGGAGATTTTAACTGTTGCATGGAACCGCAGATGGATACGACGTCACATGTGCTGAGAGAGGGCAATAAATACTTGAAAGTATTAGGGAAAACAATACAACAATGTAAGTTGGTGGATAGTTGGAGAATTAAAAATCTGAATGATAGAGATTATACATTCTATTCTCATGCACATAAAACAAGATTGGATTTATATATTGCTAGATCACAGACTTATAGAATCTCTGGTGAAAGCAAAGATAGAAGTTATAACATTATCGGAACATGCACCTGTCACAATGAGGTTGATATGTGGAAGAGAACATAAAAAGATAAACACATGGAGGTTAAATGAGACACTTCTTCAGGATTATTATTATTATTATTACTACGAGTTTATATAGCGCCAAAGGGTTTGCTCAGCGCTGTACAATAGGGGGGGACAATACATGGCACAGTACAACAAAGACAGACAGCGTACGAGGGGTAAGAGGGCCCTACTCTTACGAGCTAACAATCTAGGAGGGAGGGGGTAAAGGTACAGTAGGAAGTGGCTGGGGGGGGGATGAAGTGGTAGGAGGAATGAGGGAGGATGGCCGTTAGGTGAGGGTGGGGTAGGCTTCCCTGAAGAGATGGGTTTTGAGGGAGCGCCTGAATGTGAATAGAGAAGGCGACAGTCTGATGGATTGGGGCAGTGAGTTCCAGAGGATGGGGGAGGACCTGGAGAAGTCCTGCAGTCGTGCATGGGAGGAGGAGACCAGGAGCAGGATAGAAGGAGGTCCTGTGAGGAGCGAAGGGTACGGGTAGGGTGGTACCTGGTGATCAGATTGGTGAGGTAGTCAGGGGCAGTGTTGTGAACGGCTTTGTAGGTCAGGGGTAAGGAGTTTAAATTTGATGCGTTGGGCAATCGGGAGCCAGTGGAGGGAGAGGCAGAGGGGGGTGGCAGAGGTGGAGCGGGTGGTAAGGTGGATGAGTCTGGCAGCTGAGTTCAGGATGGTTCAGGATCAGGAGACGGCACAGATAATTGAAAGAGAAATAGAACAATATTTTGAAAGAAATGAGACGGAGGAGGTGTCTGTGGTGACAGTGTGGGAAGCACATAAGGCCTATATTAGAGGAATCTTAATAGCAATTGGGGCGAAAAAGGAAAGGAAAGAGAAAATAAATACACTTCTTAGAGAACTATTTGAATTAGAACAGGTACATAAAAAGAAAATAACAAAACAGATCAAGCAGAGTGTAATAGAAAAACGAGAAGAACTAAATAATTTAATGGAGGAAGAAAAAAGGAGTGTTTAATAAGATAAGTGAAAGATATTGGTGGGGAGATAGACCAGGAAAATATTTAATGAGACCTCAAAGAAAAAAGAAAGGTAAGAGATAATAAAGGAGAACTAAAATATTCTACCAAAAGTATTGCAAAAGTATTTAAAGATTATTATAGTAAGTTATATAACATCAATCCTCAACAGTCCATAAGAGAAGAGAAAGAAAGAAGTAAATAAAGACAGGCATACTTAAAAGAGGCGGGGTTACCAAAATTGAGAGAAGATCAGTTAAAATCCCTTGAGAAATCAATATCAATAGAAGAAATTCAAAGTGCATTGAAGAGTACTATGGCAGGGAAAAGTCCTGGACCGGATGGGTATACTGTGAGATACTATAAAAAAATTCAAAGATCAATTGATACCTAAATTGAGTTTATATATGAATGCATTGGGAGGGGAGATGGAAATGAGAGAGGAATTCCTACAAGCTCATATTACAATAATTAATATTATTATACAGTATTTATATAGCGCCAAAGTGTTTTGCTCAGCGCTGTACAATAGCAGGGGGACAGAACATGAGACAAGACAGTAACAATACAATACACGAGGGGTTCGAGGGCCCTGCTCTTTCGAGCTTACAATCTAGGAGGGAGGGGGAAAGTGGTACAGGAGGAAATGGCTGTGAGGGATGGAGTGGTGGGAGAAGTGGAGGAGATCAGTTGTTAGGTGAGGGTGGGGTAGGCTTCCCTGAAGAGATGGGTTTTCAGGGTGCGCCTGAAGGTGAGGAGGGTAGGTGACAGTCTGATAGATTGGGGTAGGGAGTTCCAGAGGATGAGGGATTCCTGGAGAAGTCCTGCAGTCGGGCATGGGAGGAGGAGACCAGGGAGCTAGAGAGTAGGAGGCCCTGTGAGGAGCGAAGGGCACGGGTAGGGTGGTATTTGGGTATCAGGTCGGTTAGGTAGTTTGGGGCGGCATTGTGAATGGATTTGTAGGCTAGCAATTTGATGCGCTGGGCAATCGGGAGCCAGTGAAGGGATTGGCAGAGGGGGGTGGCAGATGTGAAGCGGTTGGTGAGGTGGATGGGTCTCGCCGCTGAGTTCAGGATCGACTGGAGTGGGGATAGCGTTTTTGTTTGGGTAGGCCAGTGAGAAGGGAGTTGCAGTAGTCCAGGCGTGAGATGATGAGGGAGTGTACGAGTTGTTTAGTAGTGTCTGGGGTGAGGAATGTACGTATCTTGGAGATGTTGCGGAGGTGGAGCCTGCATGACCTTGATAGTGATTGGACGTGAGGTTGGAAGGAAAGGTTTGAGTCCAGGGTGACACCCAGGACTTTGGCATGTGGGGTGGGGAGTGATGGTGACATTGCTAGTAGTGATGGAGAGGATGGGGGGGGGGAGCGCGGGCTGGGGTGAAGACCAGGAGCTCGGTTTTGGACAAGTTCAGTTTGAGGAAATGGAGCGACATCCAGTCTATGTCGTTCAGGAGGTTGGCGATGCGGGTGGAGAGTGAGGTGAGGGGGGGGTGGAGAGGTAAATTTGTGTGTCGTCGGCATAGAGGTGGTAATTGAAGCCGTGGGAGTGTATTAGTTTGCCAAGGGAGGAGGTGTAGATGGAGAAGAGGAGGGGTCCGAGGACAGAGCCCTGGGGGACTCCGACAGAGAGGGGGAGGTGGCAGTGACGCTGAAGGAGTGTTGGGATAGGTAGGAGGAGAACCAGGAGAGCGCAGCATCCCTGATGCCAAGGGAGTGCAGTTTAGTAAGGAGGAGAGGGTGGTCGACTGTGTCGAAGGCCGCGGAGAGGTCAAGGAGCAGGAGGACTGAAGGGAAAGATAGTGTACCGTGTTCTAGCTATAGACCAATATCCTTACTAAATATAGACACTAAAACTATATGCAAAAGTTTTAGCAAATAGGTTAAAGGATTTAATGCTAGAGTGGATCCATATGGATCAAGTGGGGTTCGTCCCTGGGAGAGAGGGTAGGGATTATTATTATTATTATTATTATACAGTATTTATAAAGCGCCAATAGTTCACTCAGCGCTGTACATTACAAAGGGGGACAGAACATGTGACAGAACAATACCAATACAATGCAAAACATGAGGGGATCGAGGGCCCTGCTCTTTCGAGCTTACAATCTAGAAGATAACGGACTAAGATCGTTATTGCTTATACAAAAAAGTAAAAGCGAAAAATTCCCTGTTTTGCTATTGTCTGTAGACGCTGAGAAAGCGTTTGACAGATTAGACTGGGGGTATATGTTGGACACATTGAAAGCTCTGGGGATGGGCCCTAGAATGAGAATATGGATAAAAAAATTGTATAGTCAACCATCTGCTGCAATAAAGGTGAATGGGGAAATATCAGAGAGCTTTAAGATGTATAACAGGACACGTCAGGGATGCCCATTGTCACCTTTGCTGTTTGTCCTGTCCTTAGAATCCCTCTTAGCAAAAATAAGGAAAAACATAGATATTAAGGGAATTTGGATAGGAGAGACGGAGCATAAAGTAGCGGCGTATGCCGACGATTTGCTGTTCTACCTAGGTAACCCAAGGATAACATTACCCATTCTAATGAAAACACTGAAGGAATATGGGGAGCTGTCTAACCTAAAAATTAATCTAACTAAAACAGAAATCTTGAATATAAATCTTCCAAGAAGAGAGAAAAAGGCTTTACAAAGAATTTTCTTTCTCGTGGAAGGAAAAAGAACAAAATATTTGGGAATAAATGTAACCGTACCCTCAAAGAATCTATATAAAGCAAATTATATCCCATTATTAACTGAAATCAAGGATGAAATTAGAAAATTAGGGATAGGTGGTATATCTTGGATAGGACGAATAAACCTAATTAAAATGATAATTGTTCCAAAAATTTTAAATAAATTTCATATGATCCCAATAAAGCTGCCAGGACTGTATTTTAGGATAATGAAAAAAATTATGATAAAGTTTATATGGGGAAATAAAAAACCTAGAATAAGTTACGAAGTCCTAACCAGAGACAAAGAGAATGGGGGACTGGGTGTTCCTGATTTTAAAAGATATTATAATTCAGTATTGATAGCACAAATTTTTGACTGGACACACAATGCACAGGGAAAAAGTTGGATAAATATAGAAAACACATTAAGTAAAACACATTTCAGTAGGATAATATGGTTACCACCTCACTGTCGTGGAATGACAGATAGCACAAGTATATTTACACGTATTGCTTTGAACGTTTGGGACACAATGCACAAACAGATGGGATGGGAATTTAACTCAATGTTGATGTTCTCCATCTACACCTCCTCCCTTGGCAAACTCATACACTCCCACGGCTTCAACTACCACCTCTACGCTGATGACACTCAAATTTACCTCTCCACCCCTCACCTCACCCCCACATTCTCCGCCCGCATCACTCACCTCCTAAACGACATCTCTGACTGGATGTCGCTCCATTTCCTCAAGCTTAACCTCTCCAAAACCGAGCTTCTCGTCTTCCCTCCTGCCCGCGCCCCCCCCCCCCATCCTATCCATCACTACTAACAACACCACCATCAATCCCGCCCCGCAAGCCAAAGTCCTTGGCGTCATCCTGGACTCAAACCTCTCCTTCCAACCTCATGTCAAATCACTTACAAACACATGCAGGCTCCACCTTCGCAACATCGCCAAAATACGCACCTTCCTTACCCCAGACACCACTAAACTACTCGTACACTCCCTGATTATCTCACGCCTCGACTACTGCAACTCCCTCCTCACCGGCCTACCCCAGTGCAGGCTTTCCCTGCTTCAGACCTGAACTCAGCGGCTAGACTTATCCACCTCACCAACCGCTCCACCTCTGCCACCCCCCTCTGCCTATCCCTCCACTGGCTCCCTATCGCCCAACGCATCAAATTCAAACTACTCACTCTGACCTACAAAGCCGTTCACAACACTGCCCCTAACTACCTCACCAACCTGATTCCCAGGTATCACCCTACCCGTACCCTTCGCTCTTCACAGGACCCCTTCTATCTTGCCCCCTGGTCTCCTCCTCCCACGCACGTCTGCAAGACTTCTCCAGGTCCTCCCCCATCCTCTGGAACTCACTACCCCAATCCACCAGACTGTCACCTTCCCTCCTCACCTTCAGGCGCTCCCTGAAAACCCACCTCTTCAGGGAAGCCTACCCCACCCTCACCTAACTGCCGCTCTCCCTCATTCCTCCTACCACTCCATCCCCCACAGCCACTTCCTCCTGTACCACTACCCCCTCCCTCCTAGATTGTAAGCTCGAAAGAGTAGGGCCCTCTAACCCCTCGTCTGCTGTTTGTAGTTGCTGTACTGTTTCATGTAATGTATTGTCCCCCCTCTACTGTACAGCGCTGAGCAAACCCTTTGGCGCTATATAAACTCGATGTAATATATATAATGCCTATCGTAATCACAGATTTCTTCCCACCGGGGAATGGAAACGTTGCAGGGAGATAGATAAAAAAAGGAAATGCACTATTAAGAGATATAATGAAAGGTGAGGAAATTTGACCTGTAGTGGAAATGAAAAAGAAGACTGAGTTGTTCACTAGGGTAGATGAGTGGCGGTATTTACAAATGAAACATTTTATAGAAAAACTCCCTAGGCCCTTAAGGAAGAAAGAAAAGTGGAACACATTTGAACTTTTATTTAGTACACGGGGGATGGGAAACATGGAACTGAGAGTGAGGCAGGAGTTCACCTCCGGACAGGCTAGGGAAGTTCTACAGGTCAGAGCTTCTGGAGCCCTCACACCCTTCCAGAAACTTGAGGAATTTTCTGGAAGAGGATCAGAGGAGGATAGGAGGCTCAGATCTGCATGTTTGAAGGACCCTGGACAATCCCCTGGCAGGAGGCTGGGCATGGTGACCAAGACAACTCTCAAATATCACAGAGCCTGGGGAGCTAGGGGGGGAGTGAGTGGAATATGTAGTGAGAGGCTGGAGTGCGGAGCCTGGGAGAGGGCCTACCTACAGGCAGGTCGCTGGAAAAGAGGATCCTGCTGCACCTCCATCTCCTTGGGAGGACATCTTGAGCAGCAGGAAAGGAGCCAGCCTAACATAAGGCCTGAAGGCAGCCACCAACCCACCAAGCTGGCAGGAAAGGACAGTGTGAGTACTCTTGCACCCCCCGAGCCAGATAAGGAGAGAGGGCAGTCAGAGAACCCAATTATCTTCTCATCTGGAACGGTTTTAAATTGGCAGTTCTCGGGCCCCTTTGCCCAAGAAATACCCTCAGTACAGCTGAGTGAAGAGGATGATTCATCTGGGATCTGAGGAGGTACACCAAAGAGCTTTTAATGCTCTTAAAGGAGAGCTAGTTGATAAGGAGTTTGTCCTCAAAGTTCTACAGTTCTCTTGGGCATCCCATACACCCCTAGACCTCATCCAAGTTATTAACTCCTTAATAAAAATCACAAAACCAAGCTCAAGGACTGTTTACTGACTCCAGTGTGTAAAGTGTGGAAGAAAATGCGTGTTGCCTGACTTTGCAGAGCTTTATGGGGACCCAAAACTCAGCGACTCCTAAGGGGGGAGGGGTGCTACAGGAGAAATATGTGTTTTTTCCTTTTGTTATACCTTAAGCTCATTGCTAATTGCGCTAGTTACGTTTGTAGCCTAAATATTGATATTTGCAGTAAAAATGGTCATTTTGGCTAATCCTTTTCAAACTGTCAGTAAAAAGTTGGCTGTCAGGAAATTTTTTTTGTTGTGCCAGTAAATTTCTCTTTGGGAGGTTGGAAACTTTGATTTATGCTCCATACACAAGGAGATGATAGCACAATACGAGTCATGTCAGTGGTATTCTGTGCTCATCCTGTGTATGGAGATATCACCGTCTCTACACATGGAGGACAATATTGGGGGTCTACTCCATTATAAATCTCCAGGAAATATAATTTTATAAGACAAATGTTATAAAGTGATCGAATATAAATGATTCCAATAAAGAGAAATGAGTTTCATCCATGTAGAGAATAGTTCCATTCATTCCTCGGGGAGAAATTAATTTTCTTCTGGTAACATTCTTCTCTTCTACAGATTGGATACTACTCACCTGACAGACAGCTCCTGCCCCCACCTGGCATCTGGAATAAGAAATAACCCGACACTGAGGACACTGGACCTGTCTGTGAACAATCTGGAGGGTCCTCATTTCAGGGATCTGATGGCGGCTCTGACAACAAGCCAGATAGAGGAATTACAGTGAGTATAACACTATACAATATTGGGGGGTCTACTCCATTATAACATTTGTCTTATAAAATTCTATTTCCTGGAGGTTTATAAAGTGATCGAATATAAATGATTCCAATAAAGAGAAATGAGTTCCATCCATGTAGAGAATAGTTCCATTCATTCCTGGGGGAGGGGAGAAATTCATTTTCTTCTGGTAACATTCCTCTCTTCTTCTACAAATTGGATAATAATGACCTGACAGACAGTTCCTGCCCCCACCTGGCATCTGGAATAAGAAATAATCCGACACTGAGGACATTGGACCTGTCTGGGAACAATCTGGACGGTCCTCATTTCAGGGATCTGATGGCGGCTCTGACAACAAGCCGGATAGAGGGATTACGGTGAGTATAACAGGACTGACTGAGACAATCATATTCTGGGAGAGTTTTATATCCAAACTACACAAATCGCACAATTATAACATGACAATATTGGATCTCATTTTTGTTTATCTCTATATATAGTCCTTTCTTGACTGTCATCAAATTCTTGGGTCCCATCGCCCTAAACTAGTCTTTTCTTAAAACCGGATTATAATCTGATATTCCATTTAGTCTGTGTAGTTTAGATTTGTAATAGTTTATTAATTTCCGACTATCGTGCAAAGCCATAAGGGGGACTCCTTGGCTTAAAAGCATCTATAGATAAGTATTCTTGTTGAATCTTCCAATATTATCGTTATCTGGTATTATTTAATGAAATGTTATATACAGTTTGATTTTACCTACAAGTGTTTGTGTGATCTCTCTTTGCACACTTCAAAAAACCCAGAAAAAAAAACTGTGTGGTCTAAAAATGTGCTTTGTTTTGGGATGCCTTGATTTTAATGAAGGACCACTAACTCTTAAAACAAGGGCTGGTTTATTTACAAATGAACATACATACATTATACTTACAAATCGGGAAATGGGACAGGGAAGAAGGGGGTCCTCTATTATCTAATACACAGTCTCTCTGAATCTTTTACACTAGGACCTCTTATCCAATCTTGTCTTGAGATACACCCTCAGTTGGGTCCCTGCAAATTGCATTCTTGATCCTATGTAGGCAATATCTTGCCCTAGAGGTCACAAAATTTAATTCCTGTCCCATGCTCAGTGATGAGTTTTCGAGCAGATGTTTACAAAGGGTGTCTGTGACGGAACGCTTGTCACCTCGATTGAGTGAATCCATCAGAGAACCGCTTTCTCGTCACTGGGACACAGGACCAAGGTGTTCTAGCTGGGCACTGTACCCAAGACTAGACGAGACTAGCTTGATGCAAAATGGAGCTACTATATTGAACAGGAACACAGGTTTTTAGATCTTTCAGAACTAGGGGCAGTCCCAACATTATTATTATTATTATTATACAGTATTTATAAAGCGCCAATAGTTCGCTCAGCGCTGTACATTTCAATGGGAGACAGAACATGCGACAGTACAATAACAATACAATGCGATACATGAGGGGATCGAGGGCCCTGCTCCTTGGAGCTTACAATCTAGGAGGGAGGGGATAGTAGTACAGGAGGAAATAGCTGTGGGGGATGGGGTAGTAGGAAGAGTGGAGGAGGTCAGGAATTAGCAGGGGGGTGGGGTAGGCTTCCCTGAAGAGGTGGGTTTTCAGGATGCGCCTAAAGGAGAGGAGAGTAGGTGATAGTCTGATGGATTGGGGTAAGGAGTTCCAGAGTATGGGTGACGCCCTGGAGAAGTCCTGGAGGCGGGTATGGGAGGAGGAGACCATGGAACTAGAGAGAAGGAGGCTCTGTGCGGAGCGGAGTGTGCGTGTTGGGTGGTACTTGGATATTAGGTCGGTGATGTAGTTTGGGCAGTATGGTGGAGAGCTTTGTAAGTCAGTGTTAGGATTTTGAATTTGATCCGCTGGGCAAACAGAAGCCAGTGGAGGGATTGGCAGAGGGGGGTGGCGGACACTGAGTGGAGGCCAGTGGAGGGATTGGCAGAGGGGGGTGGAGGAAACTGAGTGGAGGCCAGTGGAGGGATTGACAGAGGGGGGGTGGTGGAAACTGAGCGTTTCGTAAGGCAGATGAGTCTGGCAGCCGTATTCAGGATGGACTGAAGTGGGGATAGCCTGTGGCGAGGCAGGTCAGTAAGGAGGGAGTTGCAGTAGTCGAGTCGTGATATGACGAGGGAGTGGATGAGCTGCTTAGTGGTTTCTGGGGTTAGGAACGTGTGGATTTTGGCAATGTTGCAGAGGTGGAGTCTGCATGAGTTTGTTAGTGATTGGACTTCGGGCTGGCAGGATAGATTGGAGTCAAGAATGACACCAAGTACTCTGGCCTGCAGGGTGGGCCTGATGGTGGCATTGTTGGACCTGATGGAGAAGTCAGTGGGGGGTAGGGGGGTCCGGGCTAGGGGGAAGACTAGGAGCTCGGTTTTGGAGAGGTTCAGTTTAAGGAAGTGGAGCGACATCCAATCTGATATGTCGTTCAGTAGGCTAGTGATTCGTGCGGAGACTGAAGGGGTGAGGCGAGGGGTCGAGAGATAGATTTGCATGTCGTCGGCATAGAGGTGGTAGTTGAAGCCGTGAGAGTGTATGAGTTGTCCAAGGGGAGGAGGTGTAGATGGAGAAGAGAAGGGGCCCGAGGACAGAGCCTTGAGGGACCCCAACAGTGAGGGGGAGGTGGTAGCATTATAGGTAACCCTGAAGGAGCGTTGGGATAGGTAGGATGAGAGCCAGGAGAGAGCAGAATCTCTGAGGCCAATAAACATGAACAATAAAAACAAATATTACACATTAACATAAACCTAAACACATAAACATCCCACAATGGTTTGGTAACAAGGTAAAGTGGACATAATACTAATCACATCTCCAGAAGGACTAGCCGACAGACAAAAATAGGTGACTCTAACAATGGGAATGCATATCTAGGAGGCACACAATGGTAGGAAGACAATAAACATATAACACCTTAGTAAACCGCTTAGAGCAAGAGTCCTCAGCATCAGGTTTGGAGTCTGAGTCTAGAAGGGGGGGGTTGAAGCAGCCAATGCTGGTTTAGGCACAGAGACCCCAAATCTGTATCCTGGTCCTCCAGCTCTCAGAGTCTGTGTGTTTTGGGGAGATAAGGACTTGAATCCAAAGTAAAACTCCTCCAAAGCCCCCTCCCCCCCCCCCTTCCCGGCACACACCGAAGAATAGAGCCCCCTCAGACACCAGGGCCATGGTCAGTAGGCAAGAGGCTAGCCTGCAGTCTCCTCCAAAAGCCCCTGTCCCGGTTGGGTCTGTCACAATGTCAATAGGATCCTTCCCAATCCCCCAGGAACCGTTCTGTAATACTAGCCAGGTGTGAGCATTAAAATACTCCAGGAGACCTACTGGTCAAATGCTAATGATCTCCTGTATTTATCTAGTCCTCTTTGTTGTTGTCTGGCTGTGCAATCTTCATCTGCCTCAATACAAACTCCATTGTGATTTGCTTCTGGAGAAGACATATTTTAGTTTATGTCAAAGCTGAACTGATATAATATTTCATGAGATAGAACATCTGGTAACTGGTAGGGATGAGCTGCTGGTTAAATAAATTGGTGTTTGGCCTGATTTATAAAATCAGTGGGCCTGCGTACAGGATTATAAACTGAGCCCTACACCTAGTAAAAAACAAAATGCATTACACTTAGCAGGCCATGGCTAAAAGTGGGCATGATTTACATATCCACTATGTTGCTTAAGTATTGGTCCCCCGGCCTTCCCACGCACATGAACTTTAATGGCCCCCCAGTCTTAGTCCGTAGGGTTCAATATTGAGTTGGCCTCACCCTTTGCAGCTATAACAGCTTCAACTCTTCTGGGAAGGCCGTCCACAAGGTTTAGGAGGGTGTCTATGGGAAGGTTGGACCATTCTTCCAGAAGCACATTTGTCAGGTCAGGCACTGATGTCGGGGGAGGAGGCCTGGCTCTCAGTCTCCGCTCTAATTCATCCCAAAGGTGTTCTATGGGGTTGAGGTCAGGACTCTGTGCAGGCCAGTCAAGTTCCTCCACCCCAAACTGGCTCCTCCATGTCTTATGGACCTTGCTTTCTGCACTGGTGCGCAGTCATGTTGAAACAGGAAGGGGCCATCCCCAAACTCTTCCCACAAAGTTGGGAACATGAAATTGTCCAAAATGTCACCTTAAGAGTTTCCTTCACTGAAACTAGGGGACCAAGCCCAACCCCTGAAAAACAACCCCACACCATAATCCCCCCTCCACCAAACTTTACACTTGGCACAATGCAGTTAGGTAAGTACCGTTCTCCTGGCCACCGCCAAAACCAGACACGTCCATTGGATTGCCAGACAGAGAAGTGTGATTGGTCACTCCAGAGAACACATCTCCCCTGCTCTAGAGTCCAGTGGCGGTGTGCTTTACACCAAGGCATCCGACGCTTTGCATTGCACTTGGTGATGGAAGGCTTGGATGCAGCTCCTCGGCCATGGAAACCCATTCCATGAAGCTCTCTACGCACTGTTGTTGGGCTCATCTGAAGGCCACACCAAGTTTGGAGGTCTTTAGCTATTGACTCTGCAGACAGTTGGTGTCTTCTGCGCACTGTGCGCTTCAGCATGCGCTGACCCCGCCCTGTCATGTGACGTGGCCTACCACTTGGTGACTAAGTTGCTGTTTTTCCACTTTGTTATAATCCCACTAACAGTTGAGCGTGGAATATTTAGTAGACAGGAAATGTCACGGATGGACTTATTGCACAGGTGGCCACCTATCGCGGGACCACGCTTGGAGTCACTGAGCTGCTGAGAGCGACCCATTCTTTCACCAATGTTTGTAGAAGCAGTCTGCATGTCTAGGGGCTTGATTGTATACACCTGTGTCCATGGAGGGGATTGGAACACCTGAATCACATGATTGGGAGGGTGGGGACAATACTTTTGACAATATCGTGTATTTCCTTCTGGTAACATTCTTCTCTTCTTCTACAGATTGGATCAGAATCACCTGACAGACAGTTCCTGCCCCCACCTGGCATCTGGAATAAGAAATAACCCGACACTAAGGACACTGGACCTGTCTATGAACAATCTGGAGGGTCCTCATTTCGGGGATGTGATGGCGGCTCTGACAACAAGCCGGATAGAGGAATTACAGTGAGTATAACAGGACTGACTGAGACAATCATATTCTGGGACAGATTTACATTTCAGCACATAAAATGAAAAGATAAGATAAAACAAAACATTTGAATAGTCAATCCTCAACTTACTCATTTTTGGAATTTATCACACTGTTATCATCTATGAAATTGTGTTTCCTTAGGCCTCCCTAAAATGATTGTAAAATTATTAGTCCAGTTACTAATATAAAGAAATAATAATCGGTCATACACGGGGGAATCTGATCTTCCTGCAATGAGCAATCAGAGCCTCATATGAACTTCCTGTCATGTGATACAACCATCCGATATGTGAGACGGGGATCTCCCTATTAGGCTGCTTTCACACCGAGGAGTTTTTGAAGAGTTTTTGCATTAAAAAACTGCCTGAAAAGCTCAAGAAAACTGTTTCCTTGTCCATGGGAATGTATATCTATGTATGTGAATGTGTATATATCTGTGTATGTGAATGTGTATCTGTTTGTTTTCACATGGAGGTGTTGCGCTTGCGGTGCGGTGTAAAAACTCCCGCTTGCAAAATCTTTGAGGCATGTTTGGGGAGTTAAAAAAAAAAAAAAAAAAACACCTCTTCCCATTGAAATGAATGGTAACCGCCTCAAAAACGCTCCAAAAACGCAATGCAGATGTGGGAAGGTCTGGCTGTTTCAGCTTTCAGCGGGATTGCCCACTGACAGCTGAATGTAAGAATTGCCAGCAATTGAAAAATAATTAAAAAACAGCGTGGGGTACCCCCCCCATCCATACCAAGCCCTGCAGGTCTGGTATGGATTTTGAGGGGAACCCCCACGCCAAAAAAAAAAAAAAAGGCGTGGGGTCCCCTCCAAAATCCATACCAGACCCTTATCCGAGCATGCAACCAGGCAGGTCAGGAAATGGGGGGGGGGGGGGGAACGTGCAAAAGCCCCCCCATCCTGAAGTATACCAGGCTACAACCCTGGGCTGTAGTTTTGGGGGTCTGCAGGAAGGAGGCTTATTGGAATATGGAAGTCCCCTTTTGTGAATGAGTATGGGGTATGGTATCACTACCCATTTACAAAAATAAAAAGTGTGGTGTGAAAAAAGACAGGAGACCGTCTTTGACAAGTCCTTTATTAAAAGAAGGAAAATAAAAGAATGTCCCCCAAAGTATCTCCAATGTCAATCACAATGCCCATAGCCGACCTGAAAAAAAAAAAAAAAGAAGGCTCCGGTCCCGACGCTGGCTCTCAGCCATCTGACTGCTCCGCTGGCTTGACAGTTCTTAAATATGTAAGGGGCGGGGCCACCCGGTGACATCATTCATGTGATCCCGCCCCCGTGTGCCATCATCGAACGGGGCATGCTGGGTCAATGATGTCACACGGGGGGTGCGGGCTCACATACGTGATGGGCTGCCCTTTACATATTTAAGAACTGTCAAGCCAGCAGAGCAGTCAGACGGCGGGAGCCAGCATCGGGAGCAGAGCGTTCTTTTTTTTGTTTTTTTTTGTTTTTCGGGTGGCAGTGGGCATCGTGATTAACGTTGGATCTATTTCAGGGGACATTCTTTTATTTTCCTTCTTTTAATAAAGAACTTGTCAAAGATCGTCTCCTGTCTTTTTCACACTACAGCTTTTTTTTTTTTGTTGTGAATTTTTTTTCGGAACAATTAGAATTCGAATAGATTGAAAATTGATTAGCCAACTTTAATAAAAGGACTTGTCAAAAATTGTGTTTTTGCTAACTTTGACCTTTTTTTGTGAATGAGTAGGGGTACTATGTACACCCTACTTATGCACATGGAGGGACTAGGATCTGGGGACCCCCACATCAAATGGGGCTTCAAGAATCCGATAAGCCCCCCCAGCTGCAGACCCCCTCAAACACTGCCCCGAGTTGTAAAGAAGAAACCCTTGTCCCCATCAACTTCTAATGGTGGGCACACATTAGGTCACACGGTGCCGCATGCGCCAGTTCCAAGACTGCACAAATGTCTAAATAGTGGCACGCTTGAATAAAAATTGTCCACGTATAAGTGGTACCCCATATGGAAAAAGGATTACACCAAGTCCCAAACTTTATTACCACTACTCCCCTTGTAGTCTGGGCATCCGGGGGCTCCACGTGTTCCTCTCTCACAGGTCTTCTACATCTTGACCCCATATCTGGCACGCTTGCTGGGGAGAAATTGTTTGAATGCAAGGCGGCCAGAAAAATTAACGAGGGCTCATCAACGCAGATGTTTTGCTGGGCAGTATAGACATCTGCAAATTTTTGGTTAAGGTGATTTACGAGGGGCTGAATTTTTTGGAGCCGGTCAAATTCAGGGTCACCTCGAGGACAACAGAGTGTATTGTCATTGAAATGCATAAAACACATTATACTCTCATATCTATGCCTGGCCATGGCAGCAGAGAACACGGCATATGATGAATCGGGTCTGCGGACCAATACAACCGCAATTCATTTTTTTTTTAGCAATGCCATATTGAGGAATAGGTCCAAAATAAATTTAAATTTGGAAACTATAATGGGTTTCCATACGAATTGTCTGGCAAGGTTAGAATTTGGGTTGGCTGCGATAAATTGTTGTGCTTTGATCTACAATCCATGCATATAGATCTTTCGTGAAAAACCGCTCCAAAAAATCAAGAGGAGGAGTTAAATTTGGTGTTTTCACCTGAATTCCGGGTTGGGCAATAAATGGGGGAAGTATGGGTGCTGCAGAAGTTGTGGGCTGCCAGTCGGGATTTGCAAGCACATCCGAAAGGATACTAGGGGCTCTATGGGCCTGTGTGCAAATTCTCGGTGGTTGCGGGACAATGCTTGTACTCGCTACCGCACCAGCTTGTACTGCACTTATGAGATTCGCACGTCACCAAGTGATACTGCAGTGCTGGTATGTAAAAGACCATGATGTACTAGGCCGCTGGTACTCGCCAGTTCACCAAAAGGTAGCGCGGCACTAGTACTGGCACTCTGCTGCATATGAGAGTCATCAAAACTTACCGGCAAGTGCTAACAGAGATCAGGCCTGATTCTGCCAACACTGCAGTTTTGTGTGCAATGTATCAAGTGACAGTGGCCTATTGACACTGCACTTACTGGGGGAGAAGGGGGGGGGGGTAAGTGTAGGGGCTAAAAAATACCGTATTTTCCGGCGTATAAGACAACTGGGCGTATAAGACGACCCCCTACTTTTCCTGTTAAAATATAGTGTTTTGAGCTATACTCGCCGTATAAGACTACCCCTCTTCCAACGCACACCAAATAAAAATGAAAAAAACATCAGATTTGATTTCAATATGGTATGGTATTTCAGTATGGTATTCCAATGATGGGGTGCTATTCCTCCCACTGACACCAATGATGAGGCACTACTCCTCCCACTGACACCAATGATGGGGCACTATTTCATCCACTGACACCAATGATGGGGCACTATTCCTCCCACTGATACCAATGATGGTGCCCCATCATTAGTGTCAGTGTGTGAGGAATAGTGCCCCATCATTTGTGTCAGTGAGAGGAATGGTGCCCCATCATTAGTCAGTGGGAGGAATAGTGCCCCATCATTGGTGTCAGTGGGAGGAATAGTGTCCCATCATTAGTGTCAGTGGGAGGAATAGTGTCCCATCATTAGTGTCAGTGGGAGGAATAGTGTCCCATCATTGGTGTCAGTGGGAGGAATAGTGTCCCATCATTGGTGTCAGTGGGAGGAATAGTGTCCCATCATTGGTGTCAGTGGGAGGAATAGCGGCCCATCATTGGTGTCAGTGGGAGGAATAGCACCCTATCATTGGTATCAGTGGGAGGAATAGCACCCCATCATTGGTGTCAGTGGGAGGAATTGCGCCCCATCATTGGTGTCAGTGGGAGGAATTGCGCCCCATCATTGGTGTCAGTGGGGAGAATAGTGCCCCATCATTGGTATCAGTGGGGAGAATAGTGCCCCATCATTGGTGTCAGTGGGGAGAAATAGTGCCCCATCATTGGTGTCAGTGGGGAGGAGGAATAGTGCCCCATCATTTGTATCAGTGGGGAGAACAGTGCCTCATCGTTGGTGTCAGTGGGGGAGGAACAGTGCCTCATCGTTGGTGTCGGTGTGGAGGAGGAATAGTGCCCCATTGTTAGTGTCAGTTGGGGGGAGAGGAGCGGCTGCTCCTTCTTCCAGTTCGGCCGCTCGATTTTCGCGGGGCCGCTCGGCTCCGCCTCCTCACCGGTGATTGGTCGCCTGTGTGCCTTTCCAGTGCTGGCGCCCAATCACCGGTGAGGAGGCGGAGCTGAGCGGCCGCGTGACCATCGAGCGGCGGCCGAACTGAAAGAAGGAGCAGTCGCGCTTCCTGGACCGGATCGTCGTGGGACCGGAGCCAGGTAAGGTACAGCAGCCCCTCTGCCCACCCCTGTACTTAGTGTCCGTTGGAGGAGGAGGGGGGGCGGCGCCGCACCGCCCCTCGAAAAAGTGCCGCCCTGACTTGCACCGGCGTATAAGACGACCCCCGACTTTTCAGAAGATTTTCAGGGGTTGAAAAGTCGTCTTATACGCCGGAAAATACGGTAGGTGCTGGCAGGTGCCAGTGCTGATCCCACTAACTCTGCGTTTTTGGGGACACTATACTAATGTGAATGCTGGTATAGTGCTGATCTGATCTAAGATATTGATCCAGCCATTTGTCCCTCTTCAGGTGGTGTGGGAACGTATGTATGACCACTCTGATGCTCAATGAACAGATGTCGAGTATCTGTAACGACTCCCAACATAAATTCTTGAAAATATGGGAGCCGTGGTTGCAATATGCCTTTCCCACGCTCCCCCTGGCTAGTCTGGGGTTGTGATGTTGCTCGGTATTGGCGTTCTCGGACCCCTGCTCTTTATCTTGTCATCTTTTTCCTTTTGTACTCCTCCTTCCTTTTTCTTTTTCTGTTTGTTCTTGGTGTGGCGGTGGATAGCTGCCTTTGGTTTGAGTTACTTTCGGTTTTATACTGTTTTTGTCATTTATGTGCCATTGATAGCCC